AAGCCACACAAAGACACAACTAAGAAAGAGAACTTCAGACCAATATCCCTCATGAATATTGATGCAAAAATAATAAAATTCAGGCAAATCGGATCCAAGAACACATCAGAAACCTCATGCACCATGATCCAGTAGGCTTCATTCCAGAGATGCAGGGATGGTTCAACATACGAAAATCTAACAATGTAATCCACCATATAAACAAGCTGAGAACAAAAATCTCATGATCATCTCACTCACTAGATGCAGAAAAAGCCTTTGACAAAATCCAGCACCCCTTCATGATAAAGGTCTTGGAGAGATCTGGGATAACAGGAACATATCTAAACATAATAAAAGCTATGTACAGTAAACCAACAGCCAACATCAATCTAAATGGACAGAAACTCAACACGATTCCTCTAAAATCAGGAACAAGACAAGGTTGTTCACTGTCTCCATATCTCTTCAAAATTGTACTTCAAGTTCTAGATAGAACAATAAGACAACAAAAGGAGATCAAGTGGAAACAAACTGGAAAGGAAGAGGTCAAACTTTCACTATTTGCAGATGATATGATAGTGACCCAAAAAACTCTACCAGGGAACTCCTACAGCTGATAAATATTTTCAACAAAGTGGCAGGATACAAGATTAACTCCAGAAAATGAGTAGCCTACTATACACAGATGATAAAAGGGATTAGAAAGAAATCAGAGAAACATAACCCTTTACAATTGCCACAAACAACATGAAATACCTTGGGATAACCTCTAACAAACAAGTGAAAGACCTGCATTGGAAGAACTTTGAGTCTTTAAAGAAAGAATTTAAAGACACCAGAAAATGGAAAGATCTCCCATTCTCTTGGATACGTAGGATCAAAGTAGTAAAAATGGCAATCTTGCCAAAAGCAATCTACAGATTCAGTGCAATTCCAATTAAAATCCCAGCAAAATTCTTCACAGACCTTGAAAAAGCAATAATCACCTTTATATGGAAAATAAAAGACCCAGGATAGCCAAAACACAATCCTATTCAACAAAGCAAAATCTGGAGACATCACCATCCCTGACTTCAAGCTCTATTACAGAGTTATAGTCCTGAAAACAGCTTGGTATTGGCACAAAACTAGACAGGTAGACCAATGGAATCTAATTGAATACCCTGATATTAACCCATACATACATGAACATCTGATTTTTGACAAAAAAAGCTAAAATATACAATGGAAAAAGAAAGCATCTTCAAAAAATGGTGCTGGAGTAACTGGATGCTGGCATGTAGAAGACTGCAGATAGATCCATGTCTATTGCCATGCACAAAACTTAAGTCCAAATGGATCAAAGACCTCAATGTAAATCCAGCCACACTGAACCTCTCAGAAGAGAAAGCGGGAAGTACCCTTGAATGAATTGGTACAGGAGACTGCTTCCTGAACATAACACCAGTAGCACAGACACTGAGATTGACAATTAATAATGGGACCTCCTGAAACTGAGAAGCTTCTGTAAGGTAAAGGACACAGTCAACAAGACAAAAAGGCAGCCCTAGAATGGGAAAAGGTATTCACTAACCCCACATCTGACAGAGGGCTGATCTCCAAAATTTACAAAGAACTCAAGAAGCAAGTCTCCAAAACACCAAAGGATCCAATTAAAAAGTGGGGTACAGAACTAAATAGAGAATTCTCAATAGAGGAATCCAAAATGGCTGATAGGCACCTAAGAAAGTGCTCAATATCCCTAGCCATCGGGAAAATGCAAATCAAAACAGCTCTGAGATACCATCTCACACCTGTCAGAATGGCTAAAATCAAAAACATCAATGACAGTTTATGCAGGAGGGGATGTGGAAAAAGTGGATGACTGCCCCACTGCTGGTGGGAGTGCCAACTCACACAACCACTTTGGAAATCAGTATGAAGATTCCTCAGGAAAATGGGAATCAGTCTACTGCATGACCCAGCAATTCCACTCTTAGGCATATACCCAAAAGATGCACATTCATACAAGGATGTCTGTTCCACCATGTTTATAGCAGCATTATTTGTAATAGCCAGAACATGGAAGCAACCTAGATGACGCTCATCTGAAGACTGGATAGAGAAAATGTGGTACATTTACACAATGGAGTACTATTCAGCAGAAAAAAACAATGAAATCTTGAAATTTGCAGAAAAATGGATAGCAATAGAAGAAACCATCCTGAGTGTGGTAACCCAGTCACAAAAAGACAAACATGGTATATACTCACTCATATATGGATTTTAGACATGGATCAGAGGAGTGTTAGTCTACAGTCCCACTGCCAGAGAGTATGGGAAACAGAACCTTCAACAAATGAATGATGGAAGCAGAGGCAGACTCCCACAGCTAAACACTGAGCTGAACTCAAAGAGCCCAGTGACAGAGAAGGAGGAATGATGAGCAAAGGGGTCAATACTGGGCTTGTTTAACCCACAGAAACAGCTGACCTGAACAAAGGGGTGCTCTTGAACCCCAGACTGATGGCTGGGAATCCAGAATGGGACTAATCTAGACCCCCTGAATGTGGGTGTCAGTGAAGAGACCTAGGCAGTCTATGGGGCCTTGGGTAGTAGATCAGTATTTGTCCCTGGCATTCAAATGGATTTTGGGTGCCCATCCCACAATGAGGGATGCTCTCTCGGCCTGGACTCTTGGGGGAGGCCTAGGCCCTGCCCTGGATGAAATGAAAGACTATGGACACCCCCCATGGAGGGCCTTTACCCTCCCTGGGGAAAGGAGTGGGAATTGGGGAGGGAAGATGGGGGGATTGGTGAATGGGCGTGGGAGGGGGAGAAAGGGATCTGGGATTGACATGTGAAGCAACCTTGTTTGTAATTTAAATTTAAAAATAAAAAAGACAAAAAAATATAAAATCAGAAACATTAAACAAGATGAGAGAATACAACAGTGAAGATACCAGATAAATTGTTTTGCTGTGCCATTAAAATACATCTGAGCACAGATGAAAACTAAAATCCCTTTCCTTGCCTTTCAAGAGCATATGAAAGAAAACAATCTATGCAAATTAAAAAACAATAAATCACAGATGGAAACTAAAATCCCTTTCCTTGCCTTTCAAGAGCATATGAAAAAAACAATAAATTGCCTAAAGAACTATTCATACTAAATATATTTTTGACTGTAATATTATAAATTTAGAAGTAAATATAAGAGAAATATTAGACATTGAAAAATAAATTCCAAAGAAGTTAAAAATGGCATCACACTACATAAAACATATGGTATATGGGTAGTACTATAAATAGAAAGAAACAGTGCCCAAATTACCTTACATTCGTATGCAGCCACGTTTTCAGCTGTGTCTGTGTGGACGCATGCCTATCATGCCTATGGAGGTCGGGGAATATCTGGGGTCTTCCTTCATTGCTCCCCACAGTGTGTTCTGACACACCACCTCTCAGTGAACCTGGGACTCACCACTGGCTAGACTGCATGACCAAGAAGCCCAGAGGTCTGCTTCCCTCCATCTCCTTCCCCAGTGCAGGGTTTCAGACACTCACCATCGCAGTCAGCTTTTATTGGGTTCTGGGCATCTGAACTCTAGTCTTGAAGCTTTCATAGCAAGTTTACTGACTGAGCTATCTCTCTAGGCCATAGTCACTTAATTTTAAACAATCTTAAAAGCAAGATTCACAAATTTATAAGGAACTTAAAGGAAGCCTACATTAATAAATGAACTCAAATTCATCTCCTTCGCTCAGCTCTTCCTCACCCCTTGACATTTAGCCTGCCTTGTTCTGTTTTCTGCATGCTATACTGTACCCATGTGTACATTTGCTTACACACATCATATACCATTGGCTAGGTTCCCTATATGAGGAAGGATGTATTTTTTTCTTTCTGAGATTATGAGGCCTCATTGAATATTATACATTTGAAGTCCATCAATTCTCCTTTAGAGTTTGTAATGCAATGGTGTTTAAAACTTTAAAAAAATGGAACACTTAACATATCCAACAGGAATTACATTCCAAAAAATCTAACATGAAAATGGTAGTGTCCCCCCAGTGAGCAGGGTGGAGACACGAGTGTCACCGGCAGCCTGGAGAGATCCGGGATATTTTAGGGACCTCCACTTAGGCAAAACTGGGTCTTTGGCAATACTACAGAGAATAATTTTAGAATTTCAGCACTGGAGTCCGCTTTAAATATCTTAACCGATTTAAAATCACAGCTTTGTACCAAGAGAGGCCCTCAGGAAAGAAGACATACCTTAAAACATGAACCTTAAAAACAACTGTTTTTTATCTTTGGTCCAAACATACATAGCAGTAAAACAAAATAATAACTGCGGAAGAAACAAAATTTGCAAGTAAAAACTCTCTAGGTGCCAAAAATCATTAATGGTCATTTCTTCCCCATTCACATGTGCTGTAGGCATATGGTCGTGTCACTACAGTGGGATGTATCACAGAGGGAGACTGCTTTTAAAGAACAGCAATATGAAACCATACAGAACATTGGAAATGCTGACTGAACTGTGTCATGACCCCTGCACTTTGTATCTATCTACAGATGTCCTGGTACCTTAAAGTCATGTCCTAACTTACTAAATGTTCAAAAATACTGTTTGCAGTCAGACTGCTCCCCTTAATATGGTCCATGATATTTTCCTCCTTCAGAAGCAAATTTGCATTATTGTGCATGCTTATCACAATATATGTGAGATTTATTGAAGACTTCATCTGCACTCATTTTACAAATAAATCTAACCCTTATGTGTTATTTTTATAGAAAGTAAACTCTTGTGTGACCACATACTACATACATAAATAATCTAATTTATAGTCAATAATTCATGATAACTTTAACATGTGGACAATAAATGTTTAAGGTAAACAGAATCATGTAGCTATATCTTGCCAACACAGTATCACTAGGTCTCAAGGGCTTCTCTAAGTGTGATAATAATCACTATCTATTAATAGTCCATGTAAACTTTCACTAGTACATGAGTAGTTATGTTACTCACCTAATTGCATCATTGGTTTCTGAAACAGCTTTCAAGTATTCCTTCAAATAATAATAATTAAAGCAGTATTTCCGGATCCTAAAACCACGCCATCGTCTCTGAATCTATTACCGTAAATAAAAAGATAAAATATGTCATTGAAAATTTTAAAAATATATATATATACATCTTCAAATAAAGACGCTTATATTTAATAACTTCTATCAAATAAAGGTTTGGACAATGCCCCAACTAGATATCTGATGCTACCAAGTAAAACCTCTAGTGCCGGGAATGGGTTACATATTGTTGAGTCATTAGCCAAGGGGGTCACATGGTTCACCCCTCTCAAATATCACAGGCTATTTCCAAGGCTATTTGGTTGTTTTCTACAATCTGATGGTAAGGCCTTAGTGCTGAAGACAATATATATGTTATTGAGCAGGGAGAAGTCAAGCTGGTGTCCAACTAAAAGCTTCACCCCTACTGACTAGCATTCATGATGCTGGGAGGTTATCTGCACACTGCTATAGGAAAAAAGTAATCATCACTATCACCCAGCTACAAGTCTTGCAACTTCCAACAGAGACAAGCCTGTAAGATATACTGGTGTAATAGTGGCACAAATGCAACAGGAGTAACCAACAGTTTGGTTGAATTTAAGACCCACTCCATGAGATGGAACCCATACCCGACATTGCTAAAGTAGCAGAGATCGTGAGACCAGATAGGCCATGGGCATTAGCAACAACCTAGTACTATTATTCTGCCAAAGAAACACAACATATAATAACTCCTAATGACACACTGTTACACCTACAGTCCAGCGCCTCACTAAACTCTCATGCAAGAGTCTTCTTGCAGCGGATGGGAATATAGAGACCCACAACTGGATAAGTGTGGACAGTGACAGACTTCGGAGCATTCAGCCTTAAATGGATGTCTTTATCAATTCATATGTCTCCTCCAGGCTCACATATCTGTGGAGAAGTGGAGGTAAGAAGATTTTAAGAGCCACAGGAGGTGGATGAGTTCAAGGAAACAGCAGCTTCTGACACAGAAAGACTGATACACATATGAACTCAGAGAGACTGAAAGCACACACTGTATATGGGAAAGCAGACAAGTCCCAGCACTGAAATAGGAAGTGGACACAGAGCCCCCTCCCTAACTATCTGCAATTGATAACCATTGGGGGAGGGAAACGTAGTTTCTCCCATAGAGTGTCACTGGGTACATCAAGCTTACTGGAGGGCATTTCCCAAACACAGGAATAGGTGAACAATACAAAATGGATTCCACAGGGTTTTTTTGTCATTTTATTGTTTTATTGATTTTCTTTTTAAAAATTGAATGTTTTGACTTTCTTTTTTTGAGGTGAGGATGATTTAGGAGGAATTAGGGGAAGGGAAAGCATATGCTCAAAATAAGTTTTAAAAATAATAATAGAAACTCTCAAATAATAAAAAGCACAAAGAGGGTCTCTGGGTTTTCTATGAATATAGCTAGCACATTAGTCATAAATGTAAGCAGTGCTAATATATTTGTTACAAGATATTACAAAGATATTTTAATATCTTGCTGTTGTGATGTGCATGTGTAGTTGATGTTGCTGTATGTGTATGTGGTGTGTGTGCGTGTGCAAGAGCATGTTCTCAGGTGTGTGTGCATGTGTGGACATTCATGAAAGTCAGAGGTTGAAGTCAGATATTTTCTTTATCACCATCCCCATTATTTACTTAGGCAGCTTCTCTAGCTGCAGCCAGATCTTGCTGGTTCAGCAAGTCTAACTAGCCAGCTTTCCCCATACCTTGCCTGTCCCTCTCACTCACTGGGATTGCAGGGGTGGGGCACCATTGCCGCCAATCTTATGTAGCTACTGGGACCCAAAGCTCCATCCTCATGCTTATATGAATGTTCTTTACCCACTGAACCTCTTCCTGCCTGTGAAGTACCTTTCTTAGTTATTTGGTCACAGCAACAGAACGCACACCTAATACAACTAACTGCACTGTAGCTTGGATAAGGCCTAATTAAAGTAAACTGCTAAATGAGCCTGTCTAAATAAAGTGTTATTTTTGTTCTTTACTTTTGTTTTTTATTTCTGGCATTATAATTATGTTGTGTGCCCTTCCTCCTCCCTGGGCTCTAATGGCTAGTACCACCAAACTGGAAACCCTGATAGCTAGAGCTGTATTTACTTACTGTGCAATTTGCATAGCACCTGTCTAGAACTCCAGCCTGGCTTGAGACTCACAATGGAAACCAGGCTGCATTTGAGTTTATAGTCTTCCCTTAGCTTTCCAAGTGCTGGGCTGAGAGGTATCAGCAACTATGCCTGGTACTGTACTGAGTCTTGATCATAACTTTTTAATGCCATTCTAATACTATTAATAACTACTATTTGCTGACTTTTCAGGTGTCAGATGGAATCCTAAGCGGTTTGTTTATGTTGTTTATCTTCAGAACACTTCTATGTGAAAAAATATTATCTTTATTTCACTCATAGAAAATGACACAAAAAAACAGGTTATGTAGTTTTTTAAAAATTTTTCACCTATCAGTGATAGATCTAGTAACTACGCTGGAGCAGTGCCAGATCTATTCTTCTAGTCATTATCAATGAAAATTACATTGGAAAATAAATGTATTATCATTTCATTATCTTTAGAGCTGAGTTTTAATTAGCAAGCATTTTTTTTCTAAAAAGTTAAATTTCTTTTTTCCTATTTTATTTAAATTAGAAACAAGCTTGTTTTACAAGTCATTCCTGGTTCACTCACCCTGCCCCCCACCAAGCCCCTATCCCACCCCCTTTCTGTTCCCCATGGAGGGTGAGGCCTTCCATGAAGGATATACAAAGTCTGTCATATCATTTGGAGCAGGGCTTAGCCACCCCCCCCCACATACACATACCTTGTGTCTAGGCTGAGAGGGTATCCCTCTATGTGGAATTGGCTCCCAAAGTCTATTTCTATTCTAGGGATAAATACTAATCCACTACCAGAGACCCCATAGATTTCCCAGACCTCCAAAATGACACCCATGTCCAGGAGGTATGGGTTAGTCCTATGCTGGTTTCCCAAATATGAGACTGGGGTTCCTGAGCTCCCCTTTGATCAGGTCTCTGTGAGTTTCTCCATCCTAGTCTCGACCCCTTTGCTCATCATGCCTCCCTCTCTGCAACGGGATACCAGGAGTTCAGCTCAGTGTGTAGCTGTGGGTGTCTGCTTCTGCTTCCATCAGCTATTGGATGAAGGCTCTAGGATGGCATATAAGAAGTCATAAACCTCATTATTGGAGAAGGACATTTAAGGTAGCCACTATTGCTTAGACTGTTAGTTGGGGTCATCCAGGTAGAACTCTGGACATTTCCCAATGGCAGATTTCTCTTTAAACCTATAATGAATCTCTCTATTATGGTATCTTTTTCTTGCTCTCCTCTATTCTTCCCCCAATTCAATCTTCCTCCTCTCTCATGTCCTCCTCTCCCTGCCTCTTCTCCCCTTCTCTTTCCCCATGCTCCCAGTTTGCTCAAGGAGATCTTTGTCCTTTCTGTGGGGGACCATGTATGTCCTTCTTAGGGTCTTCCTTGTTCCCTAGCTTCTTTGGTGGTGTGGATTGTAGGCTGGCAGTCCTGTGCTCTATGTCTAAAATCCATATGTGAGAGAGTACACACCATGTTTGTCTTTTTGTGACTGGGTTACCTCACACAGGAAAGTTTCTTTTAGTTCCATAAATTTGCCTGCGAATTTCAAAATACCATTGTTTTTCCCTGGGTAGTACACCATTGTGTAAATGTACCACATTTTCTTTATCCATTCTTCAGTTGAGGGACATCTAGATTGCTTCCATGTTCTGGCTATTACAAATAATGCTGCTATTGACATAGTTAAAAAGATACTGTGTATCTTTTGGGTATATGCCTAGGAGTGGTATTGCTGTATTTTGAGGTACTCATTCCCATTTTCCTGAGGATCTGCCATACTGATTTCCAAGTGGCTGTACGAGTTTGGACTCCCACCAACAATGGAGGAGTGCTCTCCTTTCTCTACTTCCTCTCCAGCATAAACTGTCATTGACGGTTTTGATGTTAGACATTCTGACAGGAGCAAGATGGTATCTCAGAGTTATTTTGATTTGCATTTCTCTAATGGCTTATGTTGAGTACTTCCTTAAGTGTCTTTCAGCCATTTTAGATTCCTCTATTGATAATTCTCGATTTAGTTCTGTATCCCACTTTTCAATTGGATTATTTGGTGTTTTGTTGACTAGTTTCTTGAGTTCTTTGTATATTTTGGAGATCAGCCCTCTGTCAGATGTGGGGTTGGTGAATATCTTTTCCCATTCTGTCGGCTGCCATTTTGTCTTGTTGAATGTGTCTTTTACCATGAAGAAGCTTCTCAGTTTCAGGAGGTTCCATTTACTAATTATCGATCTCAGTGTCTGCGCTACTGGTGTTATGTTCAGGAAGCAGTCTCCTGTACCAATTTGTTCAAGAGTACCTCCCACTTTCTCTTCTAAAAGGCTCAATGTGGTTGGATTTATGTTGAGGTCTTCGATCCATTTGGACTTAAGTTTTATGCATGGTGATAGATATGGATCTATCTGCTGTCTTCTACTGGCCAACATCCAGTTATGTCAGCACCATTTGTTGAAGATGCTTTCCTTTTTCCATTGTATACTTTTAGCTTCTTTGTCAAAAATCAGGTGTTCGTAGGTATGTGGGTTAATATCAGGGTTTTCGAATAAATTCCATTGGTCTACATGTCTATTTTTGTGCTAATGCTAAACTGTTTTGAGGACTAAAGATCTATAATAGAGATTGAAGTCAGGGATGGTGATGCCTCTGGAAGTTCCTTTACTGTACAGAGTTGTTTTGGCTATCCTGGATCTTTTATTTTTCCATATAAAATTGAGTATTATTCTTTCAAGGTCTGTGAAGAATTTTGCTGCTATTTTGCTGGGAATTGCACTGAATCTGTAAATTGCTTTTAGCAAGACTGCCATTTTTAATATGTTGATCCTACCTATCAAAGAGCATGGGAGATCTTTCCATTTTCTGGTATCTTCTTTAATTTCTTTAAAGACTCAAAGTTCTTGCTATACAAATATTTCACTTGTT